TAAGGGAAAAAAACGAACAAATAAACAAACATGCGGAAAACAAGAAACGAAGTAACAAAAAAACTTGGTACAATTGATAAACAGCTTTGAAGTAAAATGAATCAGCATTGTCTCTCCATTTTTTCAGATGTCAGGCTCGATCCACAGCTTGGAAAATTTTGCAAGCTAGACATCGGGAAATTTTGCAAGGAAATTCCCCGGGGTGAAGGGAAAATTGTGGAATGCCTGAAGAAAAAATATGAGGTTAGTTACTTTATTGTCAACTTGGACTGACTTGCGCTCCTTAACCCTACCCTACTGTCTGGCTCTTCTGACCAATATTTCATGTGTTCAAATACGTGTCATGGTTGGTTTCCTAGCTTTTGTCTGACGAGTGCATGGAGTATATGACCAGGCTGATGCGTGAGGCGGCACGTGACTTCAGATTGGATGCAAAGCTTTCCAAAGAGTGCGCTGTTGATGTAAGTTGCTGTGTGTCTGTGTCTAGGTGGGCTGGAGTAATGAACAGGGAGGGAGGGGCAGATGAGCTAGTTGGGTATGGACTTTTTTGGGTTTAGACAGTCGGGGAGGAAGAGGTTGGTAGTGCTGAGGAGGTGGGGGGGCGAGGGGAGATCATACTGAAGAAAAACGTTAGAGTCTGCATCTTGAATGTGGGATTTTGAGGATGAACTTATGTCTAACCTTTGATTCAGTTGGCCCGGCTAAGTCCTATTCAATAGTGCCAGGGAGTGATTGAAGAACTTGACTGGGAAGTGTAGCAGTTTGTTGGTTAGAATCCAAGTGTGGTCTTTGATCTGGTAAAACTGATCAGGACTGTTCTTGTTAAGACTGGTTGTCGCTCTGATTGATAGTTTTTGGGAGTCTGTGTTTCATCAGTTAAGTTGAAGTTCTAATTTTTTTTTATCGCAGTAGAGCATTTAGACTGATTATTGTGTTCCGTCTTGAAAAATAGCCAGGGAAGTGTCTTATTTGTCTCTCATCAGATTAAGAAGTTTTGCGGTGGCATTCCACCGTCTAGCGTGGAAAATTGCCTCAAAGAACATTTAGGATCAGTTGAAAAAAAGGAATGTCGAGTGGTATGTCGTGGTTTATTTTATTTTAGAAATTAATGTGAGTATGAACTCCTCTTTGCCACAGCTGAAGGTTCGATTGTTTTCATATTTTATTTTCTGGTTTGTTTGGCCATCTCTGCATTAGACTACGTTTAATGTGTTTCTTTTCTTCCTCGCTCGGCCATTTGCTTAAACGTATCATTGTGTTTCTCCAGACTCTGCCTCTTCAACCTCTTATCCTCTCTTCTTTCCCCAAAGATGGGGGCGTTGAAACCCTGTATTTTTTATTTATTTCTTTTTTTTTAATTTCCGCCTTGAAATAGTAAACATAAAAAATTACGTGGTGTCTCTTTAAAGCTCTGGCTCCTTTTTGAAGGAAAAATACAGCTGGCAGTGTTCCCTTAGATGCTTTGTAAAACAAAGTAAGTCTGATGTGACTGCCTTTTCACATGTTGCTTCTTTTGCAGGAAATAGTCCGGCAAATGAGAGAAGGCCGCACAGATATACAATCTGACCCTGTCCTTTACAAGGCATGCGCAGTGGATGTCAAACGTCACTGTTCACACATACCATTTGGACGAGGAAAAGGTAGCAGTAATTTGTTTGAAACTCACACTGGAAGGTTAGCTCTGACCAATAAAATTCGTTTGTCAGTTCAAGTTCACAGCTGTTTCTGTCGGTTAAATGGAGTAGTGCTCCCCGCGAGATGTGAGAGATGTTTTGAAACGTCTTCTCAAGTAAATTATTATTCCGTAAGCGCGATAATAAAGGTGGTTAACATTCACTAGAAACTAGCTGTGGGTTTACTGGTGCAATAAAAGATTTATATTTGACCAGTAAGAGTGCGCTTAATATATCACTGATATATCATTTATATGTATCTACATTTTCTATCTAGCCACTTTTCAACTTTTTTGTACACTATAATAAGAGCACTTTCATATTAAATTACAGCGGTTATGTTGGTGTACTGAACCGACCTGGTGGGATCTGAACTCGCTTTTCTTGTCTTTTTTCCTTCCTTTCTTTTGCTCAGATGCATTAACATGACAGCTTCTAACCCTGTGAAAACGCCCTCTTTAGAACTGATCTTTTTTTCTCATCATTTTTACAGTAATGAAGTGTCTCTTGGAGGCTCACGACTCGAACCGAGCACGTTTTGACAAGGAATGCCTGACATATTTGACAAGCAGAATGAAGATGTGGGAAGTGGCTGCTAGGGTACGAATGAAACTTCCTATGAATATGCCCTCCCCGAACTAAGAGGACAATAATACGACGCTGATTTTGCGCTGTCAACTCGACTCACTCTGTANTATTATTCCGTAAGCGCGATAATAAAGGTGGTTAACATTCACTAGAAACTAGCTGTGGGTTTACTGGTGCAATAAAAGATTTATATTTGACCAGTAAGAGTGCGCTTAATATATCACTGATATATCATTTATATGTATCTACATTTTCTATCTAGCCACTTTTCAACTTTTTTGTACACTATAATAAGAGCACTTTCATATTAAATTACAGCGGTTATGTTGGTGTACTGAACCGACCTGGTGGGATCTGAACTCGCTTTTCTTGTCTTTTTTCCTTCCTTTCTTTTGCTCAGATGCATTAACATGACAGCTTCTAACCCTGTGAAAACGCCCTCTTTAGAACTGATCTTTTTTTCTCATCATTTTTACAGTAATGAAGTGTCTCTTGGAGGCTCACGACTCGAACCGAGCACGTTTTGACAAGGAATGCCTGACCTATTTGACAAGCAGAATGAAGATGTGGGAAGTAGCTGCTAGGGTATGAATGAAACTTCCTCTGAATATGCCCCTCACCAAACAAGAGGACAATAATACGAAGCTGATTTTGCGCTGTCAACTCGACGCACTCTGTAGTTTTATTGCTAATTCCAAATTTTTCGATGTTTGGTATGTCTTATCTTTTCTCTCTTTTTGAGTTATTTTGGAAGGGCCAACTTATTGGAAAGAGGTTTGGAATCCTTGCCCTTGTTTACGGTGTGAACTTCCTTGTGTTTGCAATCGTCCTGTTACAGAGGTTTTGATTTATCGATCACTTCTGATCCCAGACGTAACTGGGCTCTAATCGTTGCTGTTACTAGTATTAATTTGGACGCTTCTTGTTTTGAAGGTTGCCCCACCTGAAACCATCGGTGATCTTGCTGTTGCTATCTCCGCTTCGCCTTCCAAGAACTACTTCTTCGTCATTTTCGCTACATGCTTAGCTCTTATTTTTGTTGGCGGACTTGTGTTTGGTCGTCTTTCCAAGAGAATCAAAAGGGAGGTGAAGGACCGATGAATGAGGGACCACATGAACATAGTACGAACAAACGCCATGCCACTCTAATAAGAGAATTGTTTTTCCGACGAAGGACTCACTGGACATTGGATTCCTGTACAAAATAGTAGCATCCAATCCACTTAAAATAGTTAGGTCATTGGTGGAATCTACAAACCAAACCTGGGTCAAAATGATTAATTGAACTATTTTATCCATTCATTTTTTCGCGCGAAAATCCTTTCACCGCCGCGGCCATTTTATATGGGAAAGAACCTCTGTTTGCACACCTCTCACTGTTTAGGATAAAATGTGTTCATTTGATACATTTGGTTTATTTTGTACAGTATCTTCAATATATCAGCGATTAAATTTTCATTTTTCAGTAAAAGTTCAAGAAGGAAGCACAAATTTTCGTAGTTTAACCAAGGTGCAATTTCAAGCGGTGATGTTGACAGGGAGTGCAGCTGTTCGTCGATTGAAAGCTTACTAAATTAATAATGTATTTTTTTGTTGGTTTACAAGGACTCGTTCCTAACGGGAAAATTATCAGTAATGTGTAATGCAGAAGTACATTTCAGTTAAGGACTCCTCTCTCAGTACAAAGGGGCCCTATGTTTGTGTTGTGCTGTGTGTATTGGCGAACCTTCAGTAGGAGATAGTGTTACCGTATTGAAAGTAAAGGGTTTGCCAAAGTCTTTAAGAATTGGATCCATGGACAGTTTCCTGCTGTAGGTGGGCTGATACAAGTCCACTAGAAGTAACCCTTTAAAATTTTCTTACTGTTGTTCTTTCATATCTGTCCCGGTGTTTAGTGTAGTCCTTAAAATAACTTGCTATTACTTAACTTTGTGATGAACGTTACAAAACATAAGAATAAATTAGTCACTGAATGAAAGCTGGGAAGTAAAGGTGTTTTGGAAGGGTCTAAGGTTTGTTTTAAACTACAGTGGAAGTATTACTGTTGATCTTTTGTTGCTCTCACAGTCTTTCAAACAGAAGTTAAATAAACCTGGGAGGAGACATAATTTGATGTGTTTGGCGAATACATAAATTCTGAATATTCATATGTACGTTAAGTGAAAGGGAAATAACCACAAAGGTTGAGATACAGATAAGCGAGTTCTGCCCTAAGATCGTTTAATCTGTTGTCTCGGACAGTCACTTATCGCCTCTGCCTTGAGATAGTTTATCGTCGTGTTCATGTAAGTAGTACTATAAAATGTTTCTTGAAACTGGACATAGGAAAAAAATTGTATGTTTACAAGTGATTAAAATTGTTTTTCAAAGCCAATACAGAAAATTGAAAACTTTTCCAATAGCTTCATTAAAAGATTTCATCATCACTGGAGACCACTGAGTTAACAAGCGTGTCAACCCTGGTGTGTTGGGTGGCATTTGTTCCGCTCTTAGAGTGCTTTCAGAAGGGTCTTCTGTGAACAACATTCTGTGCCATACAGTTATAGTGTGTGATAAATAAAACTATTCGTGTAGTGGAATGTGACTCGTTATTACAACTTTGCGAGAAAACTGTAAGGAGGTGCGTATCACAGTAAGAACAATTTTGTTTTTTTTTTTTAACTTTTTCCAAATAATTTCAAAGAATTGTAGTGATCGCCAGATTACTTTTGAAATGTAGCAACTGCGACAGCGGCAAGATGATAACCAAAACGGAAAAATAATATACAGTAATGCAAACAACTTTATTTTATAATCTACTGTTTTCTAATCAAAACGTGAAGTGCAAGAGCACTTCAAAACGCGGATTATAACAAAAGTAAACCATAGATCAGAATTGAACCAAAACGTGAAATACGTTTTCGAACAAAATAATTAACTAATACCCTTAAGTCGTCCATATCTTACCCTCCAACCTGTTCTCCCGACCGCGTAAACGTTCCCGAACTGTAAGTTTTACTCGTCTACGACACCATTTCCCGCCGAATATGACTACGATAGACATTAAAAGCTTTTATAAAGTTATCGTCACTATCAGTCTTCAAGTTATCTATAGCTGTACAAAATGAAATTTTATGCCTAAGTGTCATTTACGTATTACAACACGTTTTAAATTTTGATTTTTCTCACTTTCTAAGAGAGGTAAATCACTCCAGATTACCTCAAATGCTTCATTTCTGCTTTAAATGCAACTATCGTTTCCTTGAAATTTAAGTGTTAATTAACTTTTCTATAGTCTCAAATGACGGTGCAAACTTACATAGATGCGAGCGAGGCTATGAAATATGTGTTTACAAACAATAAGTATGGGCTCGGAAAATTACATTTGTTAATTTTTCCTTACCTACACTGCTCTCGCACAACTATTATGTACACGGAAGAGAGGCACTTTCAGACGTGTTTTACTCGTGCATTTCATGCGATGAAGGAGTTATTAACTTGACTTCCTATTCAACAAGCGGTTGGTCCTCGCATGATCTACGTATCGACGTGATTCCAACGTGTCCCACTTCACTAGATTTACTTGTACATTGTCATGTCCAAGTTCTGGTACATACAGAGATACCCATCTCCTAGCAGGCGACGAACTTTCTCGGGCATCTCGCCTCTTTCCTTTGCTGCAATTATTTCCTCAGGGCTTTTGGAAAGCCATTCCAGTGCTTCAGGACAACGTGTCACAGCAGGGATATTGTAACCATTTCTTTCTCCTGAAAAGCAAGGCGGTAAAAAAAATTAACAGAGTAATAGATGTCCAAAGGTTACAAGCAATAGGACCCATTAGACTATTTGCACGTAATTGTTTGATCTACAACACTGAACTCAAGAGCCCTACTGCAAAGCTGCTATGCCTAATATCCTAAATGTATCATATACCAGGATTGAAAACCTTAGAGTAAAATAGAAACGAGTGTTGGTCATATAGGACAGGGATCAACGGGATCAGTTCAGATGACATCTGCATTATCGAATAATAAGATTTTTGTTTTAGATTTTGTACTCTCGCTCCTTACAAGTCAATTAAGAAGTGACGATAAAAGACCCGACAAATATACTAATAATGAAAAAGGAAAATTATTCGGAGATGAGAACGACTGAAATCAGAAATTCAGCCGATTGATACTGATAAGCATAAATTGTCATAACTTCTGTCAGGTCGAGATAAAGAAACAAAGAAACAAATAATTAAACAAACAAAAAGTGAAGGGATGACCAAAATAGCCAGTCGTGAGCTCGGACTCACCTTTCCTGTCGGCCATACTGTCAAAGAAGCACCAAGGGGCGTCTTTTTCCATACCGCACTTAACAAACGCCACGTAATGACTCGTCTCGATACAGACAACAGCAAAGAGATCCATTTTCTGCTTATCGAGTGTTAGCTGTTTTTCCACCGTTTTCGCTTGGTCACTGTAGTGACTGTAGATTCGAGGTAGAAGTATCGGCTTCGGTTTATGATCCTGACGGTTTCGATGAGCGTGAACTTTCTCATTACACCCCTTACAATAGCACGCTATTCCGGGTTCGTCCTTCAGGAGACCTTTTTGATAGCACTTCTTGCATTCATATTGAGCAACGTCAGAGCCGCACATGTTGCATTCTCGGGGAACTGGAAACAAAACGATCTTTGTTAACAAGTAGCTCTTTACAAAATGACGTCATACAATGAAGTCACGTGACTTTGCAAATCACAGAAGACATAGTAACGCGCAATAGGTGGCACGAATTAATTCATTCAAAATAATTTTCAATTTCGGCAAAGTTCTAGAAAATTAAAACACCGGATATTTATGCCGATGAGCAAAATTTTACTAATCAGTTGATTCTATCCCAATAACTCCTTATGATTTGTCTATTTGGCCCTGAAAACAGAATTTTAACTTTTTCACATTCGCCTGCATTAGGGGACTGGGTAGGAAAAATTAGCGGCTAAATCTAAAGCAAAAGTCGTTAATTTAACGACCTCTCTTCGACAGTCATGAAGCAAGTTTTGAAGTTGTTTACTTCAAGTGAAAGTAAGATAACTATCTGCAAAATTGCTCATTTCTTCGACAGGCGTAAAGTCGTTAAGTAATACAACATTTGGTGTTATCTCCCGCTTTTTGCTGCGATTCTTGTATGATTTTATGTCACCAGATGGCGACTCTGATCAAGTGGAGCTACATGTGGAATCCCTGAGGCACGCACCATTTTCAACGATATGAGTGACGTCGAGTTCCAGATTGGGTAGAATCATGTCGTACATTTTGTATCTGTTACCAAACCGTGGCATCTGAAGAATCAAACACGATGGTACCTATGAAAACAAACAAACTACTCACAGGACTGTCAAAGAAGGGTGATCAATGTGAGGATTACAACCGACCAAACTTGAGGCTAAAAAAAAGACAAAAAAAAAAAGAACGAAACGCGACAAAAGTGACGTAGTTCCGCTTTAAATTCAATTCTCCACACTGTCTGCCATACATTTCTCGTAATCGTGACGCTGAGAATTTGGTGTTCAATCACCCAATATCGCTTTGTTTACATTTTTCTTGCTCTTTATCACCCTTTCGCTTGAAAATTTATAGCCATTACCAGGAAAATATATTTTTTCTGGGAGTGAAGAGTTAAACAATTCCACTTAAGACTTACTAGCGAAAATGAAGTGTGTTCATTAGAAATAGCCGTTTCGTTAAAAAAATATTTGCATCAACACACGTCCCTCTTACCTCAAATAGAATGAGATCCGCTGAGATAAAAGACTGCTCTAACATAGTTTGGACCTGAGCAATTTTCACCGTTTCATCCTTGTCAGGTATTATCTGGTACAGGAAAGCTCCTTCACCTTTCTTCTCTTGTACATCTCGGGGCCTGTAAAATCCATACAACAAGGTTACGTTTGATCAAAACCCCAGTTGTCTACGGTATGAAGTGCAGTCAAAATGTAGTTTACAAATAACTTACTTTAAGTGAAGGAATGGGTCCGCTTTTAATACTTGTTGCAGGAGAGAGTTTAAAAACTCCTCTGGGTCTGAAAAAGTCACAACAACAAAATGACAAACAGTTTGCGAAAAGTGTGAGCCTCAGCTGTGGGGTGGCCTTTGATCAAGGATAATCTGACGGAAACAATGCATCTTTGTTAGCTTTTTAATTAACGTTTGACTAGCTCTCTTAGTACTTTGAAGGTCTAACCAGCCCACAAATTATGAACTGTTCCTAGACACTTTGGTACAAGATATCAACGCATACTAAGGACCACTGATTAGAAAGGTAACATTTAAGATATGGAAATGCACAGGGAGGGTAGGGCACATCACTCGAAACTAAAAGCATGCCAGGCTGTGAAAAATCATCAATTTTTCACAAGAGAAGGGAGACACTTGTAGCCTAAACATCCTCATACGCTATGCCCTAGTGCTAGTATCAGTGGCGAATCTCAAATTATTTTTTAAACTGTTGAATTAAGAATCGACAATCAAGTGTTCCCAAAAACTTCCTGTTTGTGAAAGTAACCAAGCCGCTAACAGGAAAACTGCACTTTGACATTAACATCACTAGAGTGTTCTCCTTGGTAAGTTTTAACTGCAATTTTAAGGTTATCTTCAAGGTTTTCAAATCACCTTTTTCTTCATTTGTTAGGCCTGCTGTGGAGCTGAGCTGGTCAAGAAGTTGTCTCAGCGCAAGAAGGCGGTCTGCACGAACAAAACCGTGCCTACAATAACACGATATTTAACATTAAGACATTTATCGTCAAGAATCTGAAATGACACCCCAATGAAATCTGTACGTAAAAGTGCAAGATGGGTGTGAAAGATACCAACAATGTATGGCAGGTAAAATAAACAACTGCCTGCTAGAACTGCATGTGCAACAAATTGAAATTGACAACCTGTGTCAGCCAGACATTAAAGTCAGTTCCTTGGTGGCTGCTTCGTGTAGGTTTCACTTATTTGCTAAAGGGATCTAATATAACAGTGTAACGTGTACCTTGTTCCTCCCTTCCTAATACGCTTCCCTATACATATCATCTGTTCATTAATTTATATTATCTGTTCATTAATTTATAATGCCATTACGTACACTCTCAGAGGATTGACAATCCAGTTTCTCAGTACACTCTGCACTTTATTATATTCCTCCAAATCGTCATCTTTTCTGGGACGATGCAGCAAGGTGTCAAACACACTTGTGAAGGCGAACATACTGAAAAGTGTGGCATCAAGGTAGCATGAGTTATGGTGACCCTGGAGGCCACGCATGAGCCCACAGTATTTATCCTCAAGAGCTTTAGGAGGCTCGGTTATGCCTTCCTCTTCTGGAGATGGCATGCTTCCAAAGTCTGAAAACAATCAATTACTCATTTAATCATAATTAAGGTAATAAATAGCTAAACCACGGTAATTAAATGAACTTATCTTTTGAAGATTTTTATCTATCAGTAAAGAGCTAAGGAACATCATAGTAATTATTTGGGGGAGAGCTTTGCTCTAGAAAACGTATACACGAAATATTTATTGCCACTACTAAACAATGTGTACTAAACTAACTTCTTTTAAGAAGTTAATAGGTGTCAAAAACACCTTTCAAGATTCCAAACAGTAACTTTTAGACCATTAAAAAATTAAACATGTAGAAGTACTTTTAGCTCACGTAAAGACAACTTTTGGGAGGTTTTGCTACATGTACTTTCTGGAATCTCAAAAGGCAGTCCATTACATAATTTAACTTTTTGGGTACATTCACAATGGCTGAGATAAAGGTTATATGGTTTCTGGAGTATACATCTCCTTTAAGACACAGTCCTATAGAAGTCAGATGACAGGGCCCAGAACAATAATTATCAAAACATGTTGCAAGAAGGCAAATGTTCATGATATAACTTTCATTTGAGCAGAAACATGTACATTGCTGTAAAAAAAACCCAAGACATTGAAATGGTGATTAAAAAACGATTAAAAATTAATTTGCAAAAAATTAAGTTTTTCAAGAGAATCGACAAAATGATAAAAACCAGTTTTGTGTCCTTCCACAATAATATTCAATATGTACAATAATCTGCTTCTAAAAAATTAAAAAATTAAAAATGGAGCAGAGGAAGATGGGGTAGGGTGGATGTGTGGGTAGGGAGGGGGGTTAAATAACCATAAAAGTAATGCGCAAAGCACAATTTTCACAGTAGTGGGTCAAGGCTCAGATGAATCTTGATTGCTACACATTTGCCAAAGTTCCCTAAACAGTTTTCAAATTTGGCTTGATTACCTCTTTCAGCATTTAAACTGACACTGGCGGTTTGTGAGTTAGCAAAGCGGGAATCTGGTCTGCAATTTTCCAATAGAACGAAGAAACCTCTCCCTGCTGGACAGGTGAAATATCTTTCTTTATTAAAAGTCCCATCTGAACATGCTGACTCCTCCTCTTCCTTCAAAGAAATGAAGCACAGTGTCTGGATAAATATTGCTGATACAAGAGTGTCAAAAAATTAAATCTATGATTTACTGTAACTATTTTACTCTGGCTAAGCCTGGTTAATGATTTCACTCACCAATTCCAGACCGGCAACCAGCTTTCCCTTTACTTGTGGAATAATCCCTATCCAACGAATAACACCACATCTTGCAGCACCATCTGCCACAGGAACCTCTACCATGGATCCAACCTCCAGACCGCAATGGTTATCAACTGACATGATGTCACTGCCACCTAAAGGAAAACCTTCACTATCATGACAATTACTGGTCACCAGTAAAATCATACTTTACCAGTTGCTAGCAATGCTAGTAACCTCAGAAAACCAGGATATGTTTTCACTTGGCTCAAGTATTGACTTTACCTTTTACTAGAGTTGGGAAACACTTCACATAAAAATATCATCACTATAACCTCTACACCCTCTCTTTCAAGCTAACAATACTGCTAATCAGGAAAAATGTATTCACATAGGTCTAGTTGAGCTTAAAAGCAGAGTCCCAGTAAATCCTCACTTGGATGAGTTATTAAAAAGCTCTCTATGTTGTGCATTTCTAAGTCCTTCACAATTATTTCATGAGCTGTAGTTAGTAAAATTATCAACATTAAATAAAAATAAAAGGTATTGTCAGGTCCCCTTATCAACTCTAACAACAGAATGTCCATTACAGAAAATAAAATAGCAGAATAGGGGAGAAAACATCTGAACCCAAATGTACTGTAATTTCAATCATCTTGTGTCTTTACATCTAAGCAGCTTGATGACTACAATTCACAAGTCATAGGTTACACAGTATAATAGGTTAACTCTAATAGGACTTCAAACAACTCTTGATGTTCCCTTATTACAGGGGGTCAATTACCAGCAACTATGCTGGAGTAGAGTACTTACACTTCCATCAAAAATTCATTGACAAAGTGCATACTTGCAGTGTTCTAACCAGGCTGCAGCCTTGTGGGATTCCCGCAAGAAAAGCTGAGTGAGGTGGCACATTCAAAGCCCAGAGTATATACCTATTAGGGCGCAGGGGCAAGCTACAAGTCAAACAGACTTTAGAATGTCTTCAGTTAAGTAGTTCTATTAGTCAACCAAACACCCCAGAATTTGGTTATTCAAATGAATAAATAACATGATATCAAAAGATTCAAAGTCTTAAATTTTATTGCCTTTACTTTCCTTGGTCCCACATACGTGGCAAAGATTGTGGTATGCATCACTGTCAAATCATAAGCACCTCCTCTGCCATATTGGCGCAGTAACTCAGTTACTCGCAGTCAAACTTTGTCCCCTTAATGTTCTTACCCCGCCACTATTTCTCAGCAAAAGGGGCCCTGGGACTCCCCTAGGCAAAATCCTGGTGAGAACACTGCAATAGTAACAAATCAACAATAAAAAAACATATTAAGTTATTCCAAAAATTAACATAAATATTTTAAGTACGAACCAGTTCTCCTGTTAACTGCCAAATCATCTCCAAGAAATGCGGATGTATGTGATTGTGCATACGGCTGCTCTAGAGGTTCTTTCGAGGAAGTCTCTCTTTCCATTTCCACTTCCATTGCTTCTGCTCTGTCACTGGACTTTCTGTCTGCAACAAACTTGGCTGTTGCCACAGATCCATCACTGTTATGTGTTCCTTGATTTAAGTGCTTCACTTCCTCTTTAAACGTTGGTGATCGCTGAGAAGTTAAATATGCTGCAGATTGCAAATGTTCCTTGTATTCTCCTGTCAAAAGAAATCAAGGTCAAAATTATCATCATCTCATTTATAGATACTTTTTTTTTAAGCTAAATGTTTCTTCTGCATTAAGGACATTCCGTATCCCTTAATTACACACTAAGATGATTGAAAAATAGTTTGCAAAGTGAGATTGATTTGCATTTTCTTTCGTTTAAGAATTCTAAGATTAAAGTTCAAGTATGTGTTAGGTAAAATTGTATAGACAAAAACTAGTCTTAAAATAAGACATATACATAATTTGCTAAGGAATAACACTTATTAAAAACTGGATAATTGGATAATGCAATTCAAGACTTTTTATTGGCTTAACCATTATGGTATATGAGCCAATATACCATAATCTACAAATATGGCAAGCATACTCGTCAGCTTAAAATCAAAAGGGAGCTAAAAAATCCAGTTTTTTCTTACAAACTAATAATTTCTTGGGGGAGGTTTTAATAAAACAATTATTCCACTCGCGCTTGTTGGATATGAGATGATTATAGCCAATTCGGCGCTACGCGCCTCGTTGGCTATCTATCATCTCATATCCAACGTGCGCTCGTGGAATAATTGTTAATTATTATCCAAGTACACTTCGTAGAGTACAAATAACGCCATACACGAGTACAAATATCACGCGGTATTTCTACTCTAGAGTACCTGTTACACAGGTTTTCTTGCATCGCGCAAGCAAAGAATTGAATTGTAGTTACGAAAAAAAAATGACAGACAATTTGAAACATATTGTCAACGACAAAGAGTCAGAATGACTGGCAAATATACATCCAAGTTTATTAGATGAATCAAACGAAGAAAAACAGTTAGACGAGCTGGAAATTTCTTCATTTATTGAAGAAAATAGAAACAGCAACACGACAACATGCCAATTCTGTTCCGGTTTGCATACTTCTGTCATGCACTCCCCATAAATAAATATCTGCGAAATTTGCTCGCACTGAAATAACAGTTTGGTGAGTTGGATAATAAATAACTTATTAGATGTTTTGTTGTGTAGCACCACTGAGTATTTTTACTTGTTATTTGTATTTTGACTCGCCCTACGGCTTCGTCAAAATACGGCACAACTCGTAAAAATACTCAGCAATACTACACAACAAAACGTCTAATAAGATATATATATTAATTTTCTACCAAGAATGGGACACTTATAATGCTTATGAAGAAGAACTTAATATGTTAATGATGAGAAAATTAAGTTCAACAGTGATTCTACAAGTAACTTTGGGACAGATGTCTCTGAGGAAACATACTGAACAGGTTCTCAATTGGAGAGTAAAAGAATTATTTTCAGTGATGTTAAAATGCACATTTTCCTCTCTTTGCAGTCCTTATGCTTGAGAATGAATTCAAAGGTTTGCATGGCTTGAAACTTTTGAAACTGGTAAAGAGACTGGATGCTGTATGCATATTTCAAGTATTTTTTCATTATTTCAATACAGCTCTCCATNAAATAACGCCATACACGAGTACAAATATCACGCGGTATTTCTACTCTAGAGTACCTGTTACACAGGTTTTCTTGCATCGCGCAAGCAAAGAATTGAATTGTAGTTACGAAAAAAAAATGACAGACAATTTGAAACATATTGTCAACGACAAAGAGTCAGAATGACTGGCAAATATACATCCAAGTTTATTAGATGAATCAAACGAAGAAAAACAGTTAGACGAGCTGGAAATTTCTTCATTTATTGAAGAAAATAGAAACAGCAACACGACAACATGCCAATTCTGTTCCGGTTTGCATACTTCTGTCATGCACTCCCCATAAATAAATATCTGCGAAATTTGCTCGCACTGAAATAACAGTTTGGTGAGTTGGATAATAAATAACTTATTAGATGTTTTGTTGTGTAGCACCACTGAGTATTTTTACTTGTTATTTGTATTTTGACTCGCCCTACGGCTTCGTCAAAATACGGCACAACTCGTAAAAATACTCAGCAATACTACACAACAAAACGTCTAATAAGATATATATATTAATTTTCTACCAAGAATGGGACACTTATAATGCTTATGAAGAAGAACTTAATATGTTAATGATGAGAAAATTAAGTTCAACAGTGATTCTACAAGTAACTTTGGGACAGATGTCTCTGAGGAAACATACTGAACAGGTTCTCAATTGGAGAGTAAAAGAATTATTTTCAGTGATGTTAAAATGCACATTTTCCTCTCTTTGCAGTCCTTATGCTTGAGAATGAATTCAAAGGTTTGCATGGCTTGAAACTTTTGAAACTGGTAAAGAGACTGGATGCTGTATGCATATTTCAAGTATTTTTTCATTATTTCAATACAGCTCTCCATGTAACAATGCTTTACTAGGGGGTTACAATGTTAAATGAGTAAATGTCAATCATTTAGTTAATATAAAGTATGAATCTGTATATGCAGTGTTGTTGGGTATTTTGTCAATATACTTTAAGTTCCACAATATGAATCTAAATGTATGCAGGAAACAGACTATGAATAAGACAACACTGCAGATCTTGGACCCATTTAGGTGACATGGAGGTCCTACTAGTAACTACAATTCCTTGTTTTGAAAATCAAAGTCATGTTGGTCGAAGATTTTGGATCAAAATCGTATGGTCAAGATATTTTTTGTGTTATGTTTGTCACAATACATCTCAGTGTGTGTACAGGTTTTGAAATGGGATTTTTGTAAGAATTTCTGTAAGAATCCTGCACTTCACACTTACCGTGTTGTTCATGTTTTCTAATCAAGGTTTGACTGCCATCCTTTCCAATGTTTACATAGTCAGAGTCATATTCCTGAGTAGTGTCTTGATGGTCAAAATTTTTTACGAGGTTTCCATTTGACAAACCAGGCTGCTCTGTAATTATCTTAGTCCCATCACTAACAGACCTGTCTTGGGGAGTGCTCTTGAAATGATCATCTTTAATGTGAAAATTTTCGGCACTATCTGTTCTTTCTTCATCTTGCATGGTGACATCATTATCTTGATTATCTGGTATGTTTTTACCTTCAAACTCCCTAAACATCTGACGTTGTTTTTCTATAAATTCTTGTGGATCAGTTTTGCTAGATTCTCCAGCTGCCACTATGAGTTCTGTTTCAGCAGAGGTCATTGAATTTGTTCTTCTTAACTTCATGACAGATTCCTTCCTGGTAGCTAAGAAAAAGACATGTTCTTAACATCACAATATTTACAGTATCCCTAGATACCTTACTTTCCAATTTTACAAACTGTTCAACAATTAATCTGTCACAAACCATTCATACCAATTACTCTAGATAACTACAAAAGACTTGAAAACTCGAAAAAAATGCACTTCAGTACACCACGTCATCATTTAAAGCTTCACTGTTTCAAAATGTCTACAGTAAAAATTAGATGTTTCAATCTACATGTAGTAGACCACTTTCATAAATGGCTGCCGGATTGATATTCTTTTGTTTCAATTCAAATTAGCCTCACTAGCCTCGCTTGAGATAATGTTTTCTTTTGAACTTTGAACTGGAGAACGAGGCCAGAAGGGCTAATTTAAATTTAAACAAAAGAATATTAATCCGGCTGCCATTTATGAAAGTGGTCAATACTAGGCTCTTTTTTTCAACTGGGAGAACAATTCCTCAACATCTACATCTTTCAGGAGAATCAAAGAAAGAGACATCAGTTCAAAGATAATGTGATTTTCTGCTTCAATATGCATGGTGTGCTTGACTTAGTGAATAAAAAATTTTTGAACAACTGAGATATCACATCATATCTTTACCTGATGGTAAATTAACATGGCTCATTGATTTTGGATACGATTCACCTTCATGATTTTGCTCCTTCTTTCCCTGAGCCTCTTGTCTTGTGGCTCTTTCAGGTTTCTTGTCAAAGTCCTTCTCTGGCATGACAGTTTTCAATGGTACAAATGCTGCATAATCTCTCTTACAAATAAACTTTTGAAAGCCAAATCTTTTACCACAACCAGATCCCACTCTTTCATCCTGATAGAGGATAAAAAGTTGAAAAATAATGGCTTACTGAGTGACTCATTCCATTCAATCATTTTATTGCAATTTATCTACACATCTTTGATTCTAAACTATTTTGTACTTTACCAGTAGCCACATGCAGTCTTTGACTGTCTATTTTTTAAATTAATTGTTGTAAATTTGAATACTCATACAACTGTATTCTGTTTTTAGAATCAGAAAAGCTAGAGCAGCTTGATTTGAGCTCCTGCTCTATTTAAAATGAAAATACATGTATTTGCATACATGCAAGCTGTTTCTGTGTCAACTGATGCCACATGTCAAATGCTTCACCATTGTTTTGCATTCAAGAATTTAACAGTTTCCTCAAAATGGTGGATCAAGATCTTTAAGGGATTTTTCTAAGTGTCTCACTCCTCAATTCTGGATACTCAAGCCCCAGTTCTTAATTCTGGATTCTAGGTAGTTTTGAGTCAAGAGTGTCAACTTACTTTTGAGTGGTACTGTACATCCACAAAGACATGTACAGTTAAGTCAAAAATTAAGACTACATGTACCTACCAGTTCTAGTCCTACAATTATGTAAGAATTTCCCATTGAATCTTTCTCTTCAGCAATATATCGCACAGTTCCTCTGGCTGGAGTATCATTTATAAATGTCACAACTCTTTCATCAGTCTTAAGCACTCCATCAATTCCTTGAAATGACCTTTGCTCATGTTTTCCCTTCCAAAACGACAGTATTGAATCCTTGAGACTTGACTTAAGTTTATTTTCATCTTTTTTTGAAATTTTTGAAGGTCGTATGTCATCTTCATCTTCTCGAGGTGTCAATTTGTCTAGTCCAACAAAAACACCTGAGTCTCGTGCACATGTAAAGTATTGCTTGTTTCTAAATGTTCCATCGCATGTTCCTGACCCTGGATTTTTCTAGATATATCAAACCACAGATCATATTCATTAACATTGAAAATAATCGTCATCTTTATCCATCATTATGACTTTCATCATTATCATCATCATCATTACCATGGTTGCCTTCACAATCAATGAAAATTTTATCCCCTACCAACTCCTCAGCATCCAGAATGTCCTTTTAACGACATGAAACTGCTTCTTTCTGATAATCAATTTACAAAACTTCATAGTACAGTGATGATATTATACTTGCCAGGGGGAGTATAATGAAGAAAATTGTATATACCTTTAAATTCAACCCAACACTCACCTGTTGAGGTAAAAACTTTTGCCTTTTGAAAATCAGAGAAATTGTTGTTCAAACTGGTACCATAGTTGTTTAAGTAGATACAGATTGTTAGCAATTGGATGTCACACCCCCTTCAAACAAGTGGAGATTTTAACTGAATAGGTTCCAAAACAGTTCAAACAACTGTTCGAGCTGCTTCAATAGACATTTAAGCTTTTGGAGAAGATATGCTAATTTAAATTGCTACTTTGAATTACTTAGAATCTGCAAGCAAACAGAATTTTCTTTGAAATCTAAAATCTCTGGTTGTGTGTTTTCCTATGACAGGCCACAAATGTCACCTCAGGAAATTGACAAGGTTATCTTTGATGACACTAGTTTTATGGATTGCTAAAGGTGTGAAAAGTACACAAAATTGGGAATTTTCCTTGGAGAAGTGATGTCAAACTTTCTTTGCTTTGACACGCTGAATCTCCCAGAAAGGTTACAAGTGAAAGGTTAAGAAGAAGAACTACGGCTCTTTCTTATTTTGATTAATTTGTAAAATTCCCCGCTATCTCTGTTCACAAAGATGGAAGATAGCTTAAAAATTCACTACACAGCAGAATGACAGTATCCAAGCTATTTGGCAAAACTGAATGCAATAAGACTTTTCTTTTTGGTTATGTTGTTGTCCATGAAAAGTAGCAACATTTCCTATTTAAAACTTACTGCTCACCCTGACAAACCCAGAAAGTTTTAACAACAAATAATGAACAAGGTTTGAAACTAATCTGAGGGTAGATCTTTCAAAGGAATCAACAACATTGTTTACTGTTAAGTCATAAACCCAGGAAAGGAAGCACATCATAGGAAGTTGTCCACACTGGTAAATCAAGAGGGGTGGATTTTCAAAACTATAAGCAAGTGCATCAAAACTTACGAGTCTAAAACGAAAGTGAAACCTATATGAGCGTAAATGAAGCATTTAAATCTTCCCTTCAGAATAGGAGTCTTCCAGGAAGGCAGACAAGGAAGACAAGATTCCAGGAGTTGAAATCAACTTCATTGAGTCTGAGGGGGTTAACTGAAATACTCAAGAGATCAAAATTCAAGCTTAACTTGGTGTAACATGTTACCTTCATAATAATTTTCGTTTGTTGTGTTGCTGTCTGTACGAAATTTACATAATGTCAATTGTTAACCGTCAGCAACACGACTAGACTAGTGGATGAGTACTTACGATGAGTTCAACTCCAAACCAAGTTCCCAGACTGGGCGGTAATTCACCTTTATACCAAACAACACCAGGTAAAACCTTTGATATTCCTTTAACTTCAACGAAAACTGCACTTCCGGGTAACAATTGTCCTCCAAATGCCAGACGTTTCCTATCTATGAACGTTTGGTATCTTCTTTCAGACGAAGAAATCGCCAATAGCAAGTTGGCTTCTTCTTCAGATAGCCGTGTCATATCATCCGTACGACATTCAAGACGTAATGATTTACGTTCAATTCCAACAACAGCTACTTTAGTCAAGTCTGTAGGCTGTTCAGCCGCCGGAACACCTTCTAATATCTCGCCTCGCAAAACTTGCAATGGTGCAGACTTCGTTCTGAGGCCAAGCGACAACAAACTCTTTCCAACTGTGTGTCCGACGCGATCACGTAGAAGAATATACTTAACACTAGGTTCTTCCATTTCGCACCGAGGA